GTCCCAATCGGGGCTCCATACCTTCTTATTCCCAACCCTCCTGCGTTGGGTTCTCGTTTTGAATAGAGCACTGCTCGCGCGTCTCCTTCCTTCCTTCCTTCCTTCCCGTCCCTCTCTCCCCCCCTGCCTTTTTCCAAATCCTCCTGCGTTGGGTTCTCGTTTTGAATAGAGCACTGCTCGCGCGTCTCCTTCCTTCCTCCCTTCCTTCCTTCCCGTCCCTCTCTCCCCCTTGCCTTTGACCTCGCCATCCCTGGGGGGCTGCGATCTGTGAAACTGTCGACTCACACTAGACCTCGCCATCCCCGGGGGGCTGCGATCTGTGAAACTGTCGCCACTTTCGACGCCTGCTGGGGGGCCCAGCACAGTGGGTACCCACCGCAAACTCAAATTAGACCTCGCCATCCCTGGGGGGCTGCGATCTGTGAAACTGTCGCCACTTTCGAGGCCTGCTGGGGGGCCCAGCACAGTGGGTACACACCGCGGGCTCAAACTAGACATAGCCATCCCTGGAGGGCTGCGATCTGTGAAACTGTCGCCACTTTCGAGGCCCGCTGGGGGGCCCAGCACAGTGGGCACCCACCGCGACTCAAATTAGACCTCGCCGTCCCTGGGGGGCTGCGATCTGTGAAACTGTCGCCACTTTCGAGGCCTGTTGGGGGGCCCAGCACAATGGGTACACACCGCAAACTCAAATTAGACATCGCCATCCCTGGGGGGCTGCGATCTGTGAAACTGTCGCCACTTTCGACGCCTGCTGGGGGGCCCAGCACAGTGGGCACACACCGCGGACTCAAATTAGACCTCGCCATCCCTGGGGGGCTGCGATCTGTGAAACTGTCGCCACTTTCGGGGCCTGCTGGGGGGCCCAGCACAGTGGGTACCCACCGCGGATTCAAATTAGACCTCGCCATCTTTGGGGGGGCTGCTATCTGTGAAAGTGTCGCCACTTTCGAAGCCTGCTGGGGGGGGGGCCAGCACAGTGGGTACCCACCTCAGACTCAAATTAGACCTCGCCATCCCTGGGGTGCTGCGATCTGTGAAACGGTCGCCACTTTCGAAGCCCGCTGGGGGGCCCAGCACAGTGGGCACTCACCGCGGACTCAAATTAGACCTCGCCATCCCTGGGGGGCTGCGATCTGTGAAACTGTCGCCACTTTCAAGGCATGCTGGGGGGGGCCCAGCACAGTGGGCACCCACCGCGGACCCAAATTAGACCTCGCCATCCCTGGGGGGCTGCGATGTGTGAAACTGCTGCCACTTTCGAGGCCTGCTGGGGGGCCCAGCACAGTGGGTACTCACCGCAGACTCAAATTAGACCTCGCCATCCCTGGGGGGCTGCGATCTGTGAAACGGTCGCCACTTTCGAAGCCTGCTGAGGGGCCCAACACAGTGGGTACCCACCGCAGACTCAAACTAGACCTCGCCATCCCTGAGGGGCTGCGATCTGTGAAACTGTCGCCACTTTCGGGGCCGGCTGGGGGGGGCCCGGCACAGTGGGTACCCACCGGGATTCAAATTAGACTTCGCCATCCCTGGGGGGGCGCTGCGATCTGTGAAACTGTCGCCACATTCGAGGGCTGCTGTGGGGCACAGCACAGTGGGTACCCACCGCAGACTCAAATTCGACCTCGCCATCCCTGGGGGGCTGCGATCTGTGAAACTGTCGCCACTTTCGAAGGCTGCTGAGGGGCACAGCACAGTGGGTACCTACCGCAGACTCAAATTAGACGCCGCTTTCGTGCTTGTTCTACTCCTGCAGTCACCTTCCCTCTGCTGCTGCCGTGCTGATGGTTCGGCTTCCCGAACTTTTTGTGTCTGCTCTGCGCTCCCGACTCCCCATGTCCTCTTCGAGCACCCTCTTTTTTCCCAACCCTCCTGCGTTGGGCTCTCGTTTTGAATAGAGCACTGTTTGCGCGTCTCCTTCCTTCCCGCCCCCTCCCGTCCCTCTCTTCCCCCCTGCCTTTGACATCGCCATCCCTGGGGGGCTGCGATCTGTGAAACGGTCGCCACTTTCGAGGCCTGCTGGGGGGCCCAGCATTGGGTACACACCGCGGATTCAAATTAGACCTCGCCATCCCTGGGGGGCTGCGACCTGTGAAACTGTCGCCACGCTCGAGGCCTGCTGGGGGGACCAGCACAGTGGGTACACACCGCGGATTCAAATTAGACCTCGCCATCCCTGGGGGGCTGCGATCTGTGAAACTGTCGCCACTTTCGAGGCGTGCTGGGGAGCCCAACACAATGGGTACACACCGCGGACACAAATTAGACCTCGCCATCCCTGGGGGGGCTGCGATCTGTGAAACTGTCGCCACTTTCGACGCCTGCTGGGGGGGCCCAGCACAGTGGGTACACACCGCGGACTCAAATTACACCTCGCCATCCCTGGGGGGCTGCGATCTGTGAAACTGTCGCCACTTTCGAGGCCTGCTGGGGGGCCCAGCACAGTGGGTACACACCGCAGATTCAAATTAGACCTCGCCATCTCTGGGGGGCTGCGATCTGTGAAACTGTCGCCACTTTCGAGGCCTGCTGGGGGGCCCAGCACAGTGGGTACACACCGCAGAGTCAAATTAGACCTCGCCATCCCTGGGGTGCTGCGATCTGTGAAACTGTCGCCACTTTCGAAGCTTGCTGGGGGGCCCAGCACGGTGGATACACACCGCAGAGTCAAATTAGACCTCGCCATCCCTGGGGGGCTGCGATCTGTGAAACTGTCGCCACTTTCGAGGCTGCTGGGGGGCCCAGCACAGTGGGTACCCACCGCAGACTCAAATTAGACCTCGCCATCCCTGGGGGGCTGCGATCTGTGAAACTGTCGCCACTTTCGAGGGCTGCTGGGGGCCCAGCACAGTGGGTACCACCGCAGACTCAAATTAGACCTCGCCATCCCTGGGGGGCTGCGATCTGTGAAACTGTCGCCACTTTCGAGGGCTGCTGAGGGGCACAGCACAGTGGGTACCCACCGCAGTAGACCTCGCCATCCCTGGGGAGCTGCGATCTGTGAAACTGTCGCCACTTTGAAGCCTGCTGGGGGGGCCAGCACAGTGGGTACCCACCGCAAACTCAAACTAGACCTCGCCATCCCTGGGGGGCTGCGATCTGTGAAACCGTCGCCACTTTCGAGGCCTGCTGGGGGGCCCAGCACATTGGGAACCCACCGCAGAGTCAAACTAGATCTCGCCATCTCTGGGGGGCTGCGATCTGTGAAACTGTCGCCACTTTCGGAGCCTGCTGGGGGGCCCAGCACGGTGGGTACCCACCGCAAGCTCAAATTCGACCTCGCCATCCCTGGGGGGCTGCGATCTGTGAAACGGTCGCCACTTTCGAAGCCCGCTGGGGGGCCCAGCACAGTGGGCACTCACCGCGGACTCAAATTAGACCTCGCCATCTTTGGGGGGGCTGCTATCTGTGAAAGTGTCGCCACTTTCGAAGCCTGCTGGGGGGGGGGCCAGCACAGTGGGTACCCACCTCAGACTCAAATAGACCTCGCCATCCCTGGGGTGCTGCGATCTGTGAAACGGTCGCCACTTTCGAAGCCCGCTGGGGGGCCCAGCACAGTGGGCACTCACCGCGGACTCAAATTAGACCTCGCCATCCCTGGGGGGCTGCGATCTGTGAAACTGTCGCCACTTTCAAGGGCTGCTGGGGGGCTCAGCACAGTGGGTACCCACCGCAGACTCAAATTAGACCTCGCCATCCGTGGGGGGCTGCGATCTGTGAAACTGTCGCCACTTTCGAAGGTTGCTGGGGGGCCCAGCACAGTGGGTACCGACCGCAGACTCAAACTAAACCTCGCCATCCCTGGGAGGCTGCGATCTGTGAAAGTATCGCCACTTTCGAGGCCTGCTGAGGGGCACAGCACAGTGGGTACCCACCGCAGACTCAAATTAGACCTCGCCATCCCTGGGGGGCTGCGATCTGTGAAACTGTCGCCATTTTCGAGGGCTGCTGAGGGGCACAGCACGGTGGGTACCCAACGCAGACTCAATTTAGACCTCGCCATTCCTGGGGGGGCTGCGATCTGTGAAACTGTCGCCACTTTCGAAGCCTGCTGGGGGGCCCAGCGCAGTGGGTACCCACCGCAGACTCAAATTCGACCTCGCCATCCCCGGGGGGCTGCGATCTGTGAAACTGTCGCCACTTTCGAGGGCTGCTGAGGGGCACAGCACAGTGGGTACCCCCCGCAGACTCAAATTAGACCTTCCCTCTGCTGCTGCCGTGCTGATGGTTCGGCTTCCCGCGCGTTATTCTCCTGCTTTGCGTTCCCGACTCCCCATGTCCTCTTCGAGCCTGTAGCTGTCGCCCCTCGTCCTTGTATGGTTCTCCTGCGCATCATGCCATAGGCGCGTGTCCCAAGTAGCTTACACATCAAGTTGATTGTCCATGCAAATTTCGGCCAACTCCTCGTTTCCATTGATACAAATGGGTTGGGCACGTCACAGGGTAATTTACGAGGGAAAGCGCGGATCCGCGGACCTCATTTGGCAACGAGGATCCGAGATGGGGGGCGCACCTTCCTCGAGCGGGCACGCGCGAAACGCATTTGTTCCACGCCGAATGGGACTTTCCTTCGTTATGTATTGCAAATACATTCGCCGGCCCTCTTCAGGCATGGCACCAGGGACAGGCTGGCCATCTTAAAAGAAGACCCTGGGCCCACGCCTCTTCCGGGAAAGAGCTCACCAGGGTTGACGAAGATCACGGCGCTGGAGGTCGATGGGCACCTTCCTGGGCCAACCCCCCGCAGAGTCTCCGGGGGCCTCCGGGCCTCTCTGGCGCCGCCAGTGGGGGCGCCGGAGAGGGGGCCCACGCCGCCCGCAACCCTCGACTCTCGAGCATCGTCGAAGGCCCGCGTCGCCCCGAGCCGATTCCCCATCCCAGACCTTCGACACGTACTAACCCACTAACAGGCTGGGGTGGGCCAAAGATAGTCCACCCCCGACTCTCGAGCATCGTCGAAGGCCCGCTTCGCCCCGAGCCGTTTCCCCATCCCAGACCTTCGACACGTACTAACCCACTAACAGGCTGGGGTGGGCCAAAGATAGTCCACCCTGGCATCCACTGGCAAACTCACTGCGTATCCCCTGGGAAAGCCCCCACGCTCAGGCAGAGGCCGAAATCGTCCAAAACACGGCCCGCACGATCTTTGGTGCGCCGCCTGCATCAGAGGGTCGCTCCTGTGCAAACTTGACGGGAAACGACAGGGGGGAACCGGCAAAGGGGGGGTGGGGGGGGCCACTTCGAGATGGAATCGGCGATGTGTCGCCGATAGCTCGGCGATAGGCCCACAGTAGCGAAACCGCACGCTCTGGGGCAAGGTGGGCTATCAAGCCCCAATCGACACTGGCGATGGATGGGCGATCGTGGGTCGCTACATGTCCCCTGAACCTTAGATTTAGATGCTCGCTCTGGGGACCTCCGTGGCGCCACTCGCTCTACTCATTCGTCGATGCTGCGTCGAACGCCTGTCGACGTAAGTCGATCGAGCTTGAGTCGAAAGACGAACTTGAGACGAACTCGAAAAGAACTTGAGTCGAGCCCAAGTCGAAGTGGGGTCGAACTAGAAGCGAACTAGAATCGAACAGATCCGCTAGGTGGGCTCCAGGTCTCCAAAACTAGCGTCTAATGCGCCGATCCCCCCTGACGAAACCCCTGAAAACTGGAAGGGCAAGTCGCGGCGCGCGGGTAAGCACCTGCTCCGCATCGGCCGCACACCCAGCCCGCCCGTCGGCGCGGCGGCCCCCGCGACACGACCGGGTCTCAGAAACCGTCGTCCGAGCTCCCCGCTTGCAGCATCGCCACATTCGCCTCTTCGGAGCCCGGCACTCCCCCTCCTTCTCGTCCTCCTCCTCCTCCTCCTCCTCCTCCTCCTCCTTATCGCCCTCCTCCTCCTCCTTATCGCCCTCCTCCTCCTCCTCCTCCTCCTCCTCCTTATCATCATCATGATCGTAATCATCATCATCATCAGCAGCATCATCATCCTCATCATCAGCATCATCAACAGCGTCATCACTATCATCACCGTCATCATCGTCATCATCAACAGCAGCCGCATTATCATCATCACTATCATCATCACCATCATCATCACCATCATCAGCATCATCATCATCAGCAGCAGCAGCATCGACAACATCACACCATCATCACATCATGATCATCAGCGGCAGTGTCATCATCATCATCATCATCATCATCATCATCATCATCATCATCATCATCATCATCATGATCATGATCAACATCATCATCAGCAGCATCAGCATCATAAGCACCATCATCATCATCACCATCATCATCACCATCATCATCACAGTTCTCTCATTAGAGTCCCCATGTATTGCAATTACGGTTCATCCTTATACGAATAAACACTACCACCGTCAGCATCATCATCCACACCGTCATCATGACCACCATCACCTCATCCCCGTAGCCATTGTGGCTCAAGTTCCCAACGTTGCTCCCTGCGCTGGGAGCTTGATCGCAGCCGAGGGGAGCGGCCCGAGCTTCCAGATGTTGTGCACCACAGGGGTACGGCTTTCTGGCCACCATTCCTGTGAGCTCCTGGCGGAGCAGCATTATCATCACCACCCAAAGGGCATGGCCGATGGCGAAGAGCCAATCCTCCCTGGACCTCGCACACCATTTTGGGCGTGCAGAGGCTGCGGCATCAACACCAATTGGGCGCCACGGATTTCATGCAGGTGCGGCAAGCCAGCACGACAGAAGGTCATCCTGGCAGCGCGCAGCAACGCCAAGAACACGCAGAGCCAGAACGGTCATCAGGCTCGTCCTGCTGCTGGCGGGCGTCCTGGCATGCGTGCTCCAGACACAGTTGGACGGCACGACCCGCTGCAGGAGAAGCTCGACGCCCTGGCCAAGCGCTTCGACAAGTTCATCGGCGGTGGTGGGAACCACGGCAACAATGGCACTAGTGTGCAGTCTACTCCAGCTGGGGCGGGTTCTCCTCCAGCACACGAGACGGACAAGCAGCAGCAACTTCGTGATCAGATCAAAGACCTTGATATCACCGTCCGCATGGACGAGAAGTGTGATCCCAATGGTTTCCAAGCTAAGGCAGAACTTGATAAGCAGCTCAGGGAAGCACGTCAGTCCCTTGCCGAGTGCAAGCCAGTTCTGTCTCAGCACACAGCCGTCGGCCACAATATTATCAAGGCCGAGGCCACTCATCGCAGGTTGGCTCAGGATGTTCAGCAGCAGCAGCTTGTCATTGAGCAGGCGAATGAGAAGCTCGACGGTCCCAGGGCACAGCAGGCAGCAGTGGCAAAGGAGTTGGTTTGGCTTAATCAAAAACTGGTGGAAACTATGCCAGCGGCGGTCGAGCCTTCTTCGACGTGCCATATCGATTTGGATAACATCGAAGGTGACGACAAAAAGGAGATGGAAGAGTTCATGGCATCTCCAGGGTTTGCGACGTTCAAGAAGTTCATGGATCAGCAGAAGGCCGCGGCGACGAAGCCCGTCACCCCCGCATCACCGTTCGTCGTCGACGGAGGCGGAGACATCAAGATGGGGACGAGCGACGAGCCCGTGGCTTCACCTTTCCTTTTCCCTCCGCACGGTCCTGGTCGGCAGGCGGTGCACCAGAGTGTGCCAGATCACGACCTCGATCTTGACGATGCGGAGCTTGAGCAGGTTTTCTTTAGTGCACAGCGCACTGACAAGAGAGAATTCGGGGAGCAGCTGCGCGCACTTTTCAAAAAGCAGCGCCTGGGGTAGCATCGCCCCACCCCCAAGGTGCAGTGGATTTCCTCTGTCGCAGTTTGGCACTCCGATCCCCCCGCCTGCTCCTCCGCCCCCTACCCTCTCTGGGGTGCTTGGCGGAGGCGAATGCATTGAGTGTTACAATGGAAATGCCTGGAGCACGTTGCGAGACCGTCTGACGACCACCCCTGCCTCCATCGTCTTCGCCCAGGAGGCCGGCATGTTGGAGGACAGAGTGGGCGAAACATGTGATGCGGTTTCCAAGATAGGTTGGAAGATGCGTTCCTACCCCTCGGTCCCTGGACAGTCGGGTCAACCTAAGTGGGGAGTAGCCATATTGGTCAGAAAATCCTTAGGGTTGAAATGGCCTACGGACGGCTCAGGCACCATCGTTCCCAGTAGAATCATTATAGCGGTGGTCGATATTCCCTCGTGGCCCCCCCTGACTGTGGTTTGTGCGTATTTGAAATCTGGCACTGGACACTGTGAGTCCAACCTTGGAATGCTCAAGAAAATTGGATCTCACCTTGAGAAGGAACACCTCTTCCTCGTAGGAGCTGACTGGAACATGGAACCCAGTCTTGTGGACAGCACAGGATTACCGAGACGACTTGACGCTGCGCTCTGTTCCCGAGCAGCGCACCTGCGTCTCACCCAGCGCGCTCACGACCATTGATTTGTTCATGGCCAGCACGAGCATGGCCAGAGCGGTGGAGCAGATAGAGGCTGGTATGTCGTGGACTGGTAGACCCCACAGGCCTGTGCAAATTAAGTTGAGAGACAAAGCGGTGCAATTATACCAACTTAATTACCACACCCACCAGAAGTTACCAGTTGAGCTTCCCGTTGGCCCCACCCCCTGCCCCCAGGATTGGGCGCTCGCCCGAAGTCTGGCGGTGGGCACCGCTGATGCTGCGATTCACCTTCCTGTCGGGGGGTGGGGGGGCCTGGGCCCAGTTAACGCATGCGTGGTCAGAGTTTGCTAACACGTTAGAGTTGGAACTCGAAAGTTTCCTTGGAGTCCACGTTGCCAGTAAGGGCCATAAAGGAGCCTTCTTGAAGCCTCGGTGGGTCCCCATCTCCGAGAGGCCTAAGAAGTCCACCAGGGATGCAGTTTCCTTGGGATGGGTTTGGCTGGCCCAGCATATGAAGGAGACTGTTTGAGTTACCCAGCGCCTGGCAGATGCCCAGGGCAGCTCCAGAGCCGAACCCAACAGACTGGGCCAGCTCCAGCAGGATGCGGAATCTCAGATGAAGCAGTTACAGTGACAGCCCGTGCCAGGCGAAGGATCAAGTGTCAGGTTGGACGCGACGATCAGACAGGCGCGGGATCTACTTGCCAGATGGTCTGTTACCTCATCCGCGTGGCTCCAGGGCGCTCAGGAGTTCATTGGCTCCTGGAACGACGACCTGGAGCTCGCCCAAGCCACCCTGAACAGGAAAAAAAGGAGTCTTGGGATGAATGACAGGAGAAAGCGTTATCGGGAGGGGCCAGGGCTATGCACCGTTTAACTAAGTTAGAGGAGAAATGTAATCCCACGGTCGTCCAGACTACCGCTGGACAGTTCACGAGTAACCCGCAAGATGTTCTCGATGCGGAATGTAGGACCCTGGCCAAGTTCTGGCATGCCAGCACCTCCCCCGCCCGTGCTGAAGTCCTGGACAGGGACCATCTGCCTCGGGCCACGGCGGCTGAGATTCGCGCTGCCAGCAACTCTTTTTCTGAAATGACGTCGCAATCTTTGGACGCCGTAGCTTACCCAGACAGAAGGGCCGCATCGGAAAGATATATGTTGCGGGCCTCCAGCCTGCTGCCACGTTCGGTTCGGCGGTCGTTGGCATGAGTGACCACGAATTACAACAAGCTCGTAGTGCCATGCTGTCGTATCGTGCCCCGCGCCATCGGGAGTGCTCGCGCACTGCCAAACTCTGTTTCGGAGGAGACCCTGTCTGGAGGGCGGGTGCTACGCCAGCCCTGCACTGGGCTCACATTGTGTGGCTTGCGGTCACGGACCCCGTCACGTCTCATTATAACGTTTAGCAGATTTGTCAGATGTGGTGCGCGGTGCCGTTTGATAACCAGGTTAGCTGGAGGAACTCCCGTGGCCCGATTCAACGCATGCACCTGTCGTTGCTCAGACTTGGATGGTGCGCCACATCTGCTCTCACGTGGGAAGACGACTATGACAGAGAAATACATTTGGCCTATACGTCTCCGTCCATAGTTGGACACTTGCTGATGTTAGCCACCCAACGAGGTCATGAACGTAAACTGGCCGCGCTTTCCCCGTCTTTCCCTGGGATCAGAGTTGTCGTGGACCCGCTCCAGAAGCTCCTTGGCCCCAGGTCAAAAAAGCTCTCCCAGCAGGAAAAACACATGGCCAGTACCTGAAGCGCATGGGCCCGTGCACGAGCACGAGCATCAGGATACGCCAGCGACGGACATTGTCCACTTTGCGGACAACCTGACCCGGTCAGGCACAGAGCCTGGCACTGCCAGCACCCTGGAGTAGTAGCTGTGCGCCTAGAAGTTGCTAGTGGTAATGCAGGATGGCTGCAAGAGGCAGCCGAAAGTGATTGCAGGAGCTTGTGGGATGAGCTAAAGATGGAACACCCCGAAAACAGCTACCCTCCCCTCACAATGACCCCACCGCTCGCCTCTTCAACCCACAGAAGGAGGAAGTGCCTTGGGGGAGTACCGACTTAAGAGGATGTGATGTTTCTATGGACGGATCGTGTGCACGGCACACAATCCGAGAACTGTCAAGGGCCGCGTACGCCTGGATCTTTTTAGGCCCTGAAGAGGACATTATTGCCTATGCCATAGGAACCGTCTGGGACGTCCTGCCCCAGACCCCGCAGGCGGCGGAGCACCAGGCAATGTCGCTGATCCCGTTCTTTGTGCCCTACGCTGGTGTGAGATACAGCGACTGTATGACGGTAGCGAAGCTATGCGCGACTGATCCTTCGCATCAAGTGGATCGGCGCCATCGGTATGCAGGAATGAGGAGAGGAGCTCTGTTACACGAGGAACGGGATCATGTGCCCGAAGTGCGTCACACGCCTGCCCATCGAGCGATAAGTGTCATCGACTCCCTCCCCGACAGAGAGAGAAGAATAGCCGTTGGGAATTGGAACGCAGATGCCCTCGCCAAGCATTCCCTCTCCCTCCACCCTTCGCCTTCTCCCCAGTTTTCGGAGGTGCTGAATATTTCCTTGGACAAGTTAGCTTTTGCGGCCCGTGTGCTGGCCAAAGTTCTGTGTGTGTTCCCGAGGGACAAATTCGAGCGACCACCCCCAGGACCGCGGGCAAGGTTCTTCAAGTGTGGGGGGTGGCACTGTTGGGGGAAGCAGGATGACGGCAGAGCCAGATGTATAAGATGTTTCCTGCTCAGAATAGATGCTGAGACTCGCCCTTTGCTTGGCTGCCCTGGGCCGAGCAAAACTTGGAAGGCCGTTTTCAGTTCCGACATGGGCCACACTTTGGCCCACACTGTTGTCACCAGATCTGACAAGAATGACAGATCTAGCGAAGCCGTCTTGTACTTCTGCACGACATGTGGTGCGTACACCGCACGACGCTGCTTTTTGTTGGGTCGCGAATGCCAGCAGCGCAAGATTGCTGGAGCGACCATTGCACTGAAGAGAATTTATTCTGGCCTCCACCCTCACTCGCGCGAAACCTCCGCGCGAGTGACTCAGTCGTCGAGGCGAGGAGTGGGGTACATGCAGTATGCAGTTAATGTACCCCCTCCTCAAGAGGTAGGCCTTTTGAGTGCGAGGCTAGACAGCCTCCCACAGACCCCTCGTATGATGGCCCTCCTGGAACGTGTTCGGGAGAAGGAAGAGGCAGCTGCTGGAGCTGTCCCATCCAGATGAACAGGTAACCTTGGTCCTGCCCCCTGGGGGAACAAAAAAAATCATCTCATCAACATCGTCATCGTCATCGTCATCACCATCACCATCAGCATCATCATCATCATCATCATCATCATCATCATCATCATCATCATCATCATCATCATCCTCTGCGTCATCCGCATCCTCATCGCCAGCCCAGCATCCTCAGCACGGCCAGTGGCATTATCACGATCAGCATCACCATCATCATCATGACCAACATGACCAACATGACCATCAGCATCATCATCACATCATCATCAACATGATCATCATCATCATCATCATCATCATCATCATCATCACCATCATCGTCAGCACCATCGTCATCAGCAGAACCTTCAAACAACATCACACTCGTCCTCATCGCCATCGCCATCGCCATCATCATTATCGTCGCCATCACCATCACAACATCATAACCATCATCATCACTAT